AGATTTGTAAAAGTGGACCTTTGATTTAGCTGCAGTAATTGAACGACTTCAGAGTGCAGCTTTAACGCACTGGGTAGGAAATGTTTTGTGCTGGCCCAGACAGAGGCCACTGCTGATTGGGAACTGGGCCACCCAGCCTCTCTAGAGCCTGTGAGGAGCTCGTGGGTGCTGGAAGGAGTCATTAGGTTTTTAAATGTGTATGTCTGGTCAATGTATGACCCACTGCATTTTCTCCTGTCTCGCTCTGATGTCGCTGCTGTCTCAGGTATGCCAGGTCAGTGCCCAGCAGCCTGTGCAGACTGAATTGCTGATGCGGTACCACCAGCTGCAGTCTCGACTAGCCACCCTCAAGATAGAGAACGAAGAGGTAAGAAAGTAGGTCTGGGTCTTCTGCCTGCGCTTGCTTCCCCTCAGCCGCGTGGCTGGCCTCGCAGGCAGCATGGCCCAGCCTTTACCCGAAACGCAGGCTGTTCCCTGTTGCTTCCAAACCCGGCTGTCTTCTGGTTCTGATAGGTACGAAAAACTCTGGATGCTACAATGCAGACTTTGCAAGACATGCTGACAGTGGAAGATTTTGATGTTTCAGACGCCTTCCAGCATAGTCGCTCCACTGAGTCGGTCAAATCAGCTGCTTCAGAGACCTACATGAGTAAAATAAACATTGCCAAGAGGAGAGCCAACCAACAGGAAACTGAAATGTTCTATTTTACAGTGAGTCTCATCTCATGTGGTATGGGGCACAAAGCATTGATTGCTAGGGCTGAGTCCCAGTTTAAACACTCATTAGTGAAGAGCAAGAACCAGTTCAGTTCCTTGAAGAATTTGTCTTTTGTTTGATTTGGAATTGGAATGCGTTTCTCAGTGGCGTGGCAATGCATAGAGAGTGACAGTCTGTTTTGTTATTATTTCAGAAGGAACGGGAGAAACCAGTTGTGATCCAAAACTTGAAGAAAGCAGTAGGAGTAGTTCAGAACCGGGCAGCAGAGTCCACCTGGACTTGGAGCGTGTCACCATTTGGTGGCAGTTCCTGAAGGACTTTACTGTTTCGAACTATCAGTCGAAACTTCCTCTTCTGGCCTACGTAGCTGAAATCTGCCCTTGACTCCAGGGATGACTTAAACAGTCATTTGCAGCTTGCGCAGGGTGTTGTAGGAAGCTGCGGTAGCCTGGCTTTGAACCCATACGTTTCCTGTTGTACGCGTGACTGAGTAGATGGAGATTGGCGTGTGTCCGCTGCAGCCTTGGGCTAGTACTTTACTTCTGTGCAGATCTTTAGGTTTTCAGTTATAATACTTCAAATATAAGGAATAAGACATCAGTTCAGTAGAAGTACCCCTCGTTCAAACACGGTTAACTGGATAAATAGGCTAAAGTTAGTGGCATCTTGTGGTATTTATATATGCATAGAAAAGGTTCTAGTTTTTCTGTAACAGTGTTGTTGTTCCAATTCAGGAAAAAGAAAAAAGAAAAGCATTGCAGTTTTGGTTTTGAATTTTTTTTGTTGTTAATGCTTTTTGCAAGATTTAGTTATCTTTCTCATTCTCTGACTTTCATTTTCCATCTCTGTCTCCCTTACTCCTCATATCTGCAAAATTATTTGCTCTTGAGTGTTACTGGGTGTAAAACAATCTCACAATAAAGTGAGAAATTATGCTGCACAGTTACTGTCATTCAGTGCTTAAAGCATCTGATCGTCTGAGCTGGGAAGATCTCACGCACTGGGAATTCTCCCTGCTTCATCACTTGTTTGCACAAAGGCAAAGTGCCTGTCAGTGGAAGGGAAACCTCTTTGCTTATTCAGGCCGTTCCCAGAAGCCTGACAAAAGCAGGCTTTCTCTGGGCTCTTTTCCGTGGAGCTCCTTGCGTTCCCAGGCACAGGGTGCAGCACCAAGGAGACTGGCCTAGTAAGACCGACAGGACTGTCGTGCGAAGCAGAGCAAAGTGAGCAGGCTGCTGCTGGACTGCTGAAGTTGGGCTTGTCAGTCTATCAGCCTCTCTCGCCGAGTGCCCCTCTAGCAGTTCCCTGGCAGAAGCATGCATCGAGTGCAAGCTATTTTTGCCAAGAGTCCTAACTTTGTTTTATTTTTAATTCCAGAAATTTAAGGAGTACTTGAATGGCAGTAACCTTATCACCAAGCTCCAGGCTAAACATGACCTGCTGAAGCAGACTCTGGGAGAAGGTGAGTTGCAGGGTGAGGTCCAGAGAGAAACCTCCCATCACCCAAGGCAATTTTAAACCAGGCCTTCGGCTCTGAATCTTACCTGCCGTTTGTGTTTTCCTGAGTGACTGATTGTCTCCGTGGCTGGCTTAGAATACTAAATTTAACCAGTGACACACAAAATCATTATTTCCCTGACTCATTGTTCTTTTCCACCTTTCTGTGGCAGTGCGTGTATTTGTTTGAATCTTGTACTCTGAGTCTTATACTTTGAATTTGTTTGAATCTTACACTGTCTGCAAAAGTGCTCTATTACTGCAGCAGCAAAGAGGTTCCCACTCGCTCCTACGCCATTGTCTTTTTCCTTTCTCTCGCCCTTCTTCCCAGCTTAGTGCAGCCCTGAGCAGATGTATTTTCTTGTCACTGATGCTATGCTTCTGTGTTCATTTGTCAGCCTTGCTAATTTAAGAGGCCCTTTGTCCCCTTGGCCATAGGTTGCCGTCCCTATTGCTGTCCTGATTTTATATAAGACTTGCTCGAAACAAGAACTGTAAAGTAATCCTTGTTTTTAGAACTAACTTTTTTATAGTACGCTTTTATTACCCCAAATGATTTCACAGGTTTGGTTTAGAGCACAGACACATAAAGAGCAGGCTTGACGCAGCTGAGGGGACAGTAACTCCTGAGGGAGGCAGGAGCACACAGCTCAAGTGGGGGCTTTTTCAACGGGATCCATCACTGGTGGTCGTGGTATGCACCCATGGCCCCAGAGAGAGATTTTTAGCTCTTTTAAAGTTTTTTTAAAAATTACATTCTTTCCAGCATGAAGCACCTGGAGTTAGAATCCTGATTCTCCAACAGGAGAGAATATATTTAAGTTAAAATACCTGTATCTGTATTTTAAAGATAAACAGTCCATGGTCTTGTTTTAACAATACAAAAATTGGACTCCTCATCTCAAAGTAAAAAAAAAAATAAGTTTTTGTTAGGTATTATGCCAGACATGTTTCTCTGCCAAATCTATTTAGCCTTAAAATCCACCATCTACCTAGATCCTGTAATATGTTCTATTCTGTGATCACTGAGCCATGTCTAAAGGCTAAAAAATGTAAATATAAAGAAAGCTGCAAGGGTAGATGCATAGGGCCTCATTAACACATTTTTTTTCCCCAGAAATTTCAGTATCCTGTAGAGCTACCTTAACTCCTCAGCCCCCTGCAAGGGCAGGTGGGTAGCAGCCCCTTTCTGCCCTAGCTGGGGCAGCCCTGTATGTCATAGCGCTGTGGGCGAGGATTGCGTTAGATGCAGTCTGCTGGTACGTACCGCCAGACAGATCTCCCGGCAGTGGTTTCAGAGTTCAGACTTTGACACACAGAAGGTGGATGAAGCATGTGGTTAGCAGTGTGGTTGGCAGAAATTGGATCTGTCTAAGCTCTTCCCGGAGATCACAGATGTTAACGCAGGCAACAGGTCTGGATAATGGAGATGAGGCAAAGACTCTTCTGTAGATCAGTGCAAGAAGTGATTAATCTCTTGAAGATGCTATTCTCCTGCACAAAAGCACCGTTGCCATACTTAGAAGGGAAAGCGTCGCGTCAGTCGTCTTAATTGGTTGAGAGTTGTGTGAAAGCAGCCATGGAACGTCTTCACACGAAAACTTTCAGAATTTTCTTCCAGGTCATGGGATCATACTGCTATGTAGATATTCAGCAAATATTTAGCCCAGAAATGTAGAAGGCTGTGTTTCAGCATGGACTGATTCTCGTTAGAATGAATTCTGGATTAGCGAAATATTTGCTGTGGAATTCTTTGCTTTTTCCGTGAGGAGTTGGCTGCAAGCTTGGCTTCTGCAGGTGCCAAGGGAGAGCAGGAAGGAGGGATGTGTAGCCAAATGGTTCCTTTTATGTACCTTAAAAAAAAGGAAAAATAAATCAACTTTCCTGGCCTTGGGAGAAAGGCACAAACGGAATGTGAAATTAGTTTACACTTTTTCGGTGGATTGACAAATATTTTAAAAAATGAACAGATCTTATCACTGGTGATTTCCTGCTGTTTATATAAATCCAGGCACTAAAAATACACGAAGAGAATGAGAATATTGACAGCCAGAATAGAGTCTGCCCGACTATGATTAGGTGGACTGTTATCTCACAGGAAAAGCTAAGGAACTGAGTACTCCACTGTGTTCAGATGCTATTAGTGGTCCTCCATGAGGCAGTTGGATAATCTCAGCTTCCTCCCCAGAGGCTTTAGTCCTTATCAGACTGCCCCTTTCTGATTTGAATTTGGCCAATCTCCAGCTAGTGTAAATGAGCACTTATTGCAGAGGACCTGCAGTGCATCTGGTTATTTTTTACAAGATGGGCTTCATATTGCAAATAAGCCTTTAATGTCAGTGGGAATCAAAGGCGCTTTCCCTCTCTTGTGACCAAGCCTTGGACTTCTAGGATGTCTTTTAGGGGCAGTGGGCTTGCATAGCAGCCAGCTTCACATCTTCTGTCACCTGCTGCAGTTTCAGGCACATTCAGTTTGTATTTTTCCGCAAACAATTAAAGAACCAAAAGTCTGTGTGTGTGTGTGTTTTATAAGTCATTTTTTGGTAACTGATGGGAAGACACGATAGAAACTTAAGTGTGTGTTTTCTTTCCAGGTGAAAGAGCTGAATGCGGAACAACCAGGTGAGACATTTCTTCAATTCCATGTGCTTTTGGGAAGGGAAGGATCTTTGGCTCGCTTTGGCAAAAGGAGGGTGGCTGTGGGAAAGGAGTTTGCTTTGTTATCGATTGATGCAGCTTGGAGCGGTTAAGATTTAACTGTCTTCCAGCTGCCTTGTGCTGGGAAGCTGGAGGCAATCCCAAGCTCCTGCTTCTTGACTGCATTGTTTTAAGTGGATTAATTAGAAAGATGACAAACAGGCTCCTGTTTTTGCTGCAGTGTAATTTCTAGCCGACTAGCTCTGGAGTGCCGGGAAGTGCTGTGTCGGCACGGTGCATTGCAGAGCCTTGATAGTCACAGCTGAGGTTGAGTTGTGTTCAGACAACACAAGTGTGTCTACCTGCTCCCTGCCGTCCCGGTTCATTTAAGGACTTTGATATGCTGCCTAAAAGCCTCTCCCAGCTCTGACTTCTTTGCCTAGGAGCATGGAGAGTGCTTTTATTCCTGGATTTTTATCCCTCTACAGTGGGAGTTAGCGCGAGGGGTGAACATAGCAGGGAGGAGCCTTTGATCTGTGTCCAGGCCATGAAGCATTTGCCTAGAGCTCTGGTGGCTTGCTATGATTGAGTTGGTTTCGTAACAGTAAGACATGGGCCAGCAGAGCCTGTAAACACATCCCCAGAACTTGTAGCAGCTCTGCATTATCTTTTTACAACCCTGTTTCAGTGCTTCATAAGTTCACAATACCAGCAAAAACCCCTGTTCCACGTTAGAAACGCTGAAACAGATGGCGATGCCTGGGCTGCCTTTCCCGGCAGGAAAGAGGTGGCGTTAGCAGAGGGCGTAAGGCAGCAGGGCGCCTCGATCTGCTGCCTTCTGGCTCGAGGTGCGCGGTGCTGCGGGGCGCCAG